AGCTTTTTCAAGCTTCTTGTGAACCTTGCCAAGCTCCTCATGGTCTTCCTTTAGACTTTCATGAGTAGCATTGAGCTCATCAAAGGCTTGCTTAAGGGCTTTTAGTTCCTTTCGTAAGTCTTTGCATTCCCTTCTCTTAATATCAAAATGTTCTTTAGCATCTTCCAACATGTCAATTAGTTCATCTTTAGTTGGTTCATCATCATCATCATCACTTTCACTTTCATTATCATGTTCCTCATTACATCTATCATCACAAGTTTGTACCTTAGTGGCCTTAGCCACAAAGCATGTTGATGGAGTGTCGAAGAGAGAAGGCTTCTCATTTATGGCAATGCTTGCAAGAGCCTTCTTCTTGGTGGTCTTGTCATCATCGCTATCATCATCATCACTTGAGGAAGCATCACTATCCCAAGTGACCACATATGAACCACCCTTCTTCTTCTTAAAGGTCATCTTGTCTTTCTTCTCCTTCTTGTCCTTCCTCTTGCTCTTTTTGTTGGCATCATCATTATTGCTATTATATGGGCATTGAGCAACAAGATGATCCTTGCTTCCACACTTGAAGCACCTTCTTGACTCTTCCTTGTTCTTGGATGAAGACTTCTTCCTTCTAGCACGATAGCCCTTCTTCACCATGAACTTACCAAATCTCTTCACAAAGAGAGCCATCTTCTCATCATCCATCTCATCAAAGCTCAAATCTTCATCTTCACTTGATGATTCTTGCTTTGCCTTGCCCTTGGATGATGTGGCTTTGAATGCCACTCTTCTTCTTTTCATCCTTCTTCTCATCTTTCTTCTCCTTCTTTTCTTCCTTCTCATCATCATCCCTATATGTGTCATCGGTCGTCACATCTCCCAACACTTGGTTTGGTGTCATGGTGTCCAAACCACTCCTCACTAGCAAGGTGACCAACATGCCAAATCTTGAAGGTAAGCATCTCAAGAACTTGTGGGAGAAATCCTTGTCCTTCACTTCTTCTCCAAGTATTTTGAGATCATTGGCAAGTACTTGAAGCCTGTGAAATATCTCCGGCACACTCTCATCATCCTTCATCTTGAGGCTTGTAAACTTTTCTTTGAGAATATATGCTTTGGCGCCCTTCACCGCTTGAGTCCGCTCAAATGATTTCTCCAACTTCTTCCAAGCCTCATGAGCCATCTCAATGTTCTTGATTTGCTCAAAATCTCAAATGTTCCCTCATCAATAGCATCATGAATGGCACTAAGAGCAATGCCATTGTTTTGGAGAAGCACTTCTTCGGCCACGATGTGATTCTCTGCATTGGCAATCTCAATCTTGGTCTCCACCACCTTCCACACCTTTATATTGATTGACTTGATGTGTGTGGTCATCTTTAACTTCCAATATAGATAATTTATGTTATCAAATTGGGGTGGCTTCTTGGTATTGTTGATTTAAGCCATTTTGACACCAAAGGTTGTTAAGCCTCAAATCACGGTGACCACGGCTCCAATACCACTTGAAAGGTCCTAATGGCTAGAGGGGGTGAATAGCCTATAAAATTTCTACAACAACACTAAGCAAAGCGGTTAGACAAATATGAGACGAAACAAATATTGCGCTAGCCTAATAAAAATGCAAGCCACCTACCACAATTCTAGTTTCTAGAATCTCTAGGCACACAAAGGCTATATCACTACACTAAGTTAGTGAGCTCTCAAAGACTAACTAAAGAGCCTCACTAACCACTAGACAAGACACAAGCTAGCTCTCAAAACTAATTACACTAAAGAGCTTAGCTACACTAAGAAATGTAAATACACAAGAGGGATAGTGAGTTATACCGCCGTGTCGAGGAATGAGCCAATCACAAGATTAAGTCAATCAATCACAATGAAATCCTCGGAGACAATGATGACACAAGATTTTTCACCGAGATTCACTTGCTTGCCGACAAGCTAGTCCCTGTTGTGGCGATTCACTCACTTAGAGGTTCACGCGCTAATAGGCATCACACGCCTAACCCACAATGGGGTGCCGCACAACCAACACAAGATGATGATCACACAAGATACAAGCAATCCACTAGAGTACATTTTGGCTCTCCGCCAGAGAAAGGTCAAGAACCTCTCACAATCACCATGATCGGAGCAGGAGACAAGCACCTTCCTCCGCTCGACAATCCTCGCTGCACCAAGCTATCTAGGTGGCATCAACCACCAATAGAAACAAGCAAATCCCACAGCGAAACACAATCACCAAGTGCCTCTAGATGCAATCACTCAAGCAATGCACTTGGATTCACCCCCAATCTCACAAACATGATGAATCAATGATGGAGATGAGTGGGAGGGCTTTGGCTAAGCTCATAAGGTTGCTATGTCAATACAAATGGCTAAGAGAGTGAGCCCAAGCTGGCCAAACGATATTTATAGACACCCTCAAACAATAGAGCCGTTGGCTCAATTATTGGGTAGTCTGCGCACTAACCGGACGCGTTCGGGGACGCGTTCGGTCGCTCCACGAGAGCCATGTGTCCCTATTCAAATACGTTAGTCGTTGGCGCCCAATGGTCGCCTCTGTCACATTCTAACATGATGATCGGACGCGCAGCTAGAGAAACGATCGGACATTGAACAAGCAGCGTCAGGTCGAATCCAGAGAGCTCCGAGAGCTGCTCAGGACCGATCGGACCCGTCCAGTCTCACCAGACTGGACGCACCCAGCGTCAAGTCACTCACCTCCTCGTGCGCTACTGTTTCTGACCGGACACGACGCTCAGCGTCAGGTCACGTGTTGTACTAAGCGTCTGGTCATGACAAAAAACTACACCGAGAGGTCCAAAGTATGACCGAACGCGTTATATCGCCACTGAACGGACGCACGCCAGAGTCTGGTCACCTCTGCCTTAGTCGCTCACCTCGGGTCCGAATTCCGGACGCGCCTGGTCCCAAATATGGACGTGTCCGGTCACGTCTGCAACACAAGCCCGAGCCTGGGTAACATACCGGACACGTCTGGTACCAATGTCGGACGCGTCCGATCACCTTGTGACCAGCGTGACTAACTCCTTTTTAACTTCAACTTCTTTATCCTTGCTTAAATGTGCCAGCCACCAAGTGTTTCACCTTGTGCATGTGTGTTAGCATATTTTTACAAATATTTTCAAGGGTGTTAGCACTCCACTAGATCTAAATGCTTATGCAATGAGTTAGAATATCTAGTAGCACTTTGATAACCGCATTTCGATACGAGTTTCACCCCTCTTAATAGTACGGCTATCTATCCTAAATGTGATCATACTCGCTAAGTGTCTCGATCACCAAACAAAAAAGCTCATATCGAGTTTCACCTTTGCCTTGAGCCTTTTATTTTTCTCTTTCTTCTTTTTCAAGCCGAGCACTTGATCACCATGGCCTCTCCACCATCACCATGATCTTCATTGTTTGCTCCACCGCTTGTAATGTGCTACCTATCTCATGATCATTAGAGCAATAGGTTAGCACTTAGGGTTTCATTAATTCACCAAAACCAAACTAGAGCTTTCACTCCTTCGTTCTAGTCCCACCTCTGCCTCTGAAGCACAAGGCTTCCGCTGAACAATTTCTGATCCAAGAAGGCCCTAATGAGAAAAAACCACATGCTCCAACACCGTTTCTTAAGGACAAGGATCCAAACAGACATGCCCCGTCTCTTGACTTGGATTTCTGCCACGATGCACTTCTAGCTCTGGCTTCAAAAACTGTTACGCTGAACTACTAAGGCATTTCTCTATACGAGTCCGACCTGAACACTCTCCGTGGCCAAGAGTGGCTGACTAACGCGGTGATTGAATTCACCTTTGCGATGCTTTCCTCCAAAATCAACAACATTGAGGATGTGCTCTGCTTGCCCATCAGCACAACAGTGATGATGAAAGAATATCTTGGCTATGTGGCGCAACTAGATGAGGATATCAAGCTTAGTTCATACTCACTTGTGCTCAACCGCCCCGGCGCCAACATTTCTTCATCATTTGCCATGGGGCATCTAAAAACATACTATTTTCATCTTCATCTCGCCCCATTCCCTTGTGAGGGCAGGTTTTAGAAGCTTCATCTGTGAAGTTGTTTACAAAGACCCGTTTGGCACAAAACAACTTCAAACATCTTATGACGTTGGTGAATAAGCTGTGCTAGACAAGACTTTAGACTCTTTTGTTTTGTATACATACGACCATTTGTAATTTTTTAACCGGGGTTGATTTTTGGTTTGTAACATGTTTTCATTAAGAACCCGGAGCTAGGATCACCGCACCAATGCGATCCTGATTAGCACATCAAATATGGCTAATTCATGTCACATGATAGCTTCTAAATTCTAAGTGGTTTAAATCTCGGGGTGCTTGCATTTGTTTGAATTTATTAAGAAATTTAGCAACGTTATTTGTTTAGTGGTAAACCAAATGTCCATCAATAGTGTGAGACGTCTACGATGATTTCGTCAATATTGAGATCTGTTAGCCCAATTCTAAGGAATATACATGCATATATGTAAGTGCCTAAGTCTATTTTTACTGCGTATTTAAACATATCGAAAAAGACCAAAACATCTTATAATTTAAAATAGAGGAAATAATTTGTATATTTTGACACTCTAAAACTAGTCTGCTAACGTACACAGGCCTGAACCCTTCTTCGTGTGGGGTTTTGAGGCCAGAGCTCAACTTTGGCTCGCGTGTCGCAAACCCCTGTCCCGCTAGGTGGATGGCGTGACGTGGCAGGGGAGTTTGAGTCGGTGCTGCCTCCGCGTAACTCGAATGGGACTCGAAGTCGGAGTGGCGATCGAGCCGGCGGCCATCATGTCGGTGACGGCAGCAAGCAGTCCTGGACGGGAGATCGGTTTTGATTTTTGAACCGGCCGGCGCCGTAATTCCCAAGCCGAGTCGGACTCCGCCTCCGATCCGTGTCCGTGAGGATGGCCAGTTACCCGCTCGGCCCACATTCCACATTCCACATTCGATAGATTCCGCCGCAAAACAAAGCACCGAAAGATGTCGCCGTGTTTCGCCGGCTCCAAGCGCCCTCTCGAGATGGTCCTTTACGACCCTGCCGCCGCCGCCGCGTCCCAGCAGCGCGCCAACAAGCGGGCGCGGCAGGACGAGGAGTCCGCCGCCAAGGCGGCGTCGGCGTCGGCGTCAGGTGCGATGGTTCCGCACGCGGGGACCATCCTTGACGTCGCACCCATCAACACCCTCCCGCCCCTGCTACGGCTGCCGGTGCCGGCCGCTGGCAGAGAAGAGCCGCCGTGCCTGCGCAGGCATTTCCTCGTGGCGCTGGGGCTCCGCGCCGACCTGCCCGTGCACTTCATCGACGACAAGTACGTGACGAGCACCGACCTGGACTCGCACCAGAACCGGTTCCGAATCCCGAGCAACGGTGTCGAACGCCGCCTTCGCCCGCTCCTGAACCCCCAGGAGCTCGACGCCGCCAGCCTCCTCCACGACCCATGCCCGGTGCCGAGGACGAAGCGGCCGAGGCTGGAGCTGCAGCTTGCTGGACCACCACCAGAGCCGCAGAATAATGGCGCCGCTGAGGGTCAGGGGGAGCAGCTGCCGCCAGGCAGGAAGATCAAGAAACCCAAGAAGAAGGGGAAGGTGCACGGCGGGCTGCGCGTGAAGCTGGTGAGCCTCGCCGCCGGCGCCAAGGAGCTGCAGATGTCGCGGTGGGAGAGCAGCCGCGGCACGATCGTCAAGGGGGAAGGGTACCTCGACTTCATCCGGGGGTGCGGCTTCAGGGAGACGGACGCCGTCGAGATCTGGGCCTTCGTGCAGCGGCGGTTCCACCTCTTCGGCGCGGACGTGTGCGACGACAGCCACCTGCACCTACTCCTCGTCAAGAAGCAGGAGGTGCCTCGGTGCTGCTACTGCCCTGCGCCTGTGCATGTGCCCCCTCCAGCGGCCCTCCCAGTCCCATGATCCATCCATCGCAATTCGCAATTCTTGATGGAGAGTAGGCAGGACCCTCGATTAACCACGATCATATAGTTGGTTTTCTTTCTTCTTCTTTTTTTTGGGTGAATTATTTGAACACGATTCATTTTGCGGGCTAGCATATGAAGGACAACTTGTAGAATGTTAATACGCGCATTTTCGGTTAATGCCAAAAAAAAACAGTATATCTGCAGTTTGGGAATTAAAAGTGAATGAAAGCAAGTCGGTCATAAATTTCACTTCATTAATGGTCCGTCATGTTAGATTCAGGCCTTGCAGCATCAACGATCAACCTCAGCGAACTTTAATTGTTTCCTCAGAGATTGGTAGCTCTTTGATTTTCGGATTGGCTTAGATGAAAAAGAAACTGAAACCAGCAGAATTCCTACATTGTCGTCAAACGTTGGCCAATGCATGATAAAAACCGATTGAAAGTTCATAAAAGTTTGGAGTTCTATCCATGACACGAAACTTAATTTAATCGTCATGCAAGCTCATCGAATTTGGGAGAAGTGGCAAAAGAAAATTCGTTTGATTTGGATAATATTTGGAGCATCAAGGTTACGAAGATGTATTGTGGCGTTTAGCACGTAATGTTGACTGAAATTATACACAAATGCCCAATTCCAATTGCTCACCAGTTTGTAGTTTGACGAATACGGTGGTCATCGTTTCCTGAAGTGTATTTTTTTAGGAGAAATCCTGAAGATTTTTTTATAGGAGAATGTAAATGTGTTTGATAAACTGAAGCGCTGGTTCGTAGGGTGAGAAATGGGCCGAACTAGCAGATGATCTACCGCTGATTGTGTTTGGGCTTCTTCACTAGGAGAATCATATGAGCATGGGCTAAGCCTACAAAAAGCCCATCAGTGCAGCGGTGATTATCGGAGTCCAACCTCTCTGTGGGCTCTGGGACAAGGATTTAGCTCGCACTCCCTCCTGTCCTTAAATTTGATGTTTTAGAAATTTTAGAGCATCTTCCCCTAAAAAAAAAGAAATTTTAGAGCATCTCGAAATGTTTCCTATAATTTACTTGCTAAATCAATAACTTTAGCAAGTTAACAAAATAGGTAGCAACTTTAAATTTTCTCCGTCTCCAATAGTTTCCTATATAAACTTCCTAAAACAAAAAATCCCATATATTATTTTGTGCTGCAATTCTACGCGTGCCCTTAAACGATCCGCTTCTTTTTTCATCCGGAACAATGTTTCCCTCTCACAGATTCATCCAGATTTCTCCAAGCAAACGGGGCCTATGGTCTGCAACTCTGCACGAAGCCCCCGTCGCCTCATTTCGGGTCTCAAGGGAGCAATCGTCGCCGACCCCGCCCCCCAGCCGTCGTTGCCCCTCCCTGCCTGGCCAGTAGGTGCGTCGCCACCTCTCCCCGCATAGCTAGCCGATGTCGCCGTCTCACCCTTTAGATAAATATAAATACAACACATCACCTATTTTTTGCATACACGAGAATAAATATAGTTAGTACAATTGTCATTGCAAAAGATAAAAGTTATAAAAAATGGTATAGCAATGACCTTATCCTGAATAATACGTTTACTTTGATTCTTAAGCACAGTTCGGTTGTAGCATGCACAAAACTTGTTTCCTTCTAAAATAGTCAACCTTATATACATGAAAGAACACGCAGTGCGATCTAATATAAATGTCTTGTTTGCATTGTAGTACACTGCAATTCTCTTTCAAAAGTTACCATCAGTTGGTTCCACGTGAAAGCGGGACGGATACGTTGTTTCTATCAAGAATGAAAAGTTACGAGTTAGAATTAAGATTTAGCAACTTCTTATTTTTAAGTAGTATTTTTTACCAAGTCGTTGGAAGTGTGTTTTTTCCTTTCCCCCCAAAACTTAATTTTTTATAGATAATAAAAAATTCTGGCTTCGGTCCTCCTCAAGAAGAGGCATCTGCCCAACGATAAACTTCAGAACACCTGCAATTGTTTTATACTATTAATTATTGTAAACAGAAAATAAATGCCCATTACCTCCCCAAGAAAAGGAAGAAGCGAAATGCATGAATGAACATGTTGGGAGCAATGATGCTGGTACCTAGTAGAAACTCGAAACTTCCAATTAGTGCCGTCATATATACGTATGTAAGTAGTAGATTATTGAACTGGCCTGTTTAATAAGTGCGTTCGTATAGTCCGAAGAAGAAGAAAACACCGTTGGCATGCGAAACCCGTTGACACGTTCCGGCCTCGATGAACTCAGCAAGTCAGCATCTTCTGTTTTGCTGTATGCGCCGCTAGCCCAAGTGCCCAACTCAACGTGCCCTGCACACATCACACGCCCCGCTCACCGGCCCCTTCGTTTTCTAGCGGCGCATGTTACATAAACAAGTAGCCATTTGACAAGGATTGATGCGAATGTTGGCTAGCTTGTCCTCTTAATCTTCCTCAACTCGACAAAACGGACATCAGACCGGCCGGCGTCCCCCTCTAATTAACAACCTGTATACTACTCCTAGATGAAAAGGAGCGAATGTAACCGGGGAACCGACGTCTGCGGCCTCCGTAGTAGACAAAAACACCTGTACGACGCATGCACCGGAAGTGGGGGCCCGGCTACAGCTACAGCTACGAAAGAGACACTCGATCGGCGGTGGCGCTTAAAACTAACATCGTCATCTCTGATTACACATATATCCAACCATGTTCACGCCACGTACGTCCAATGCTGATAGGCCAATCGCGCTAACAGATTACTGAAAACAACCGGCCGGCGGATCGGCACTTCTCGCTTTCTCAGTGTCAACTTCGCCAGCCGCGAACACGCCAACGCATCGCATCGCCACACGGTGATTAATGGCTCGGCGCAACTATCATCTCAATTCATGATCTAAATTTATTAGGTTGGACGAGAGCTGATCGAGCCCTATTCGCTTGAACTTATCAGTCTGGCTTATCAGTCATGGAATAGTATTTTTCTCTCGCAACAAATATGTTCACTGCAGTACTGCACACCACAACTCTATCATTATGCCTAGCCCAAAGATACTAGTAGCAGCTGACTCAACCATGACCTTAAACGGTTTTTCTCCTAATTTCTTCTGTTATTAATTTATTGGATGATCTATCCGTCGTACTTATTCAGTCGCCATCATGGAGACATGTTGATTGAGTTAATTAGGAGGCTTGTAGTCGTCACCCTAACAAATTATCTCCCTGATGCCCATATAATAATACTTGGTATTTAATCTGTACATCATGCATAATTGGGTGAAACCCTTGACTCGCGTGATGGGTCGTCACTGTCACCGTCATGACTGTTAGGCCAATCTCAATGGGGTTTTATAGAGTTTCAGCATTAAATACGCTGACATGACACTGCATTGATTAATAGAGAGATGATCAAAGTTTCATGAGAGTAGAGATAGTTTCATGAGGATGAAACTCTTATGCACTGTTTCCAAAATATGGGTGTGTTGAAAACTGACCATAACCCCCCCCCACTAAGACTGGCCTTAGGGTAAAGAAAAATATGCCCTGAACAACTACGGCGAAAGGAAACCAAGGTAAGCTCAAGCTTGGCTACTTGGGGAACAAGCCATAGGGTGTTCACAACCAAAATTAATCATACCCTTGAAATCTGGCAAACCCAGCTTAGGCCTTGTTTGGATGTCTATGTATCCACCTCAATCCATGTGTGTTTTGTGTGAAATTTAAACGGAAGGCAACACCTTGGTGAAGATGTCGGCGAACTGTGAAAAAGTAGCTAGGCACATGTATGACACGAACATCACCGCTAGCAACACGTTTCCGAACAAAGTGAAGATCGGTCTCAATGTGCTTTGTTCGAAGACATGTAGACAATGTTGATATTATCACAATAGACCAGTGTGCTACGACGATGGGGAGTGTGCAACTCGAGCAGTAACTGACGTAACCATGAGGCTTCATCAATAGCATTGTCAACAACTCTATATTATGCTTCTGCACTGGAATGGGATACTATGTTCTGACGCTTGGAAGACCAGAAAACAAGATTATCTCCAAGAAGCACCGCATAGCCTGAGGTAGACTTGCGCGTGTCAGGGCAACTAGCCCAGTCGGCATCAGAATACACCACAAGTTCATTATGGTGGTTCCTCGAATGTAATGAAGAATCCGCTTCAGAGCTATTAAATGTGGTTCACGAGGGTCATGCATACGAAGACAGACTTGCTGAGAGCTTTGGGTTATCTAGCCTACATATATGCTAGCTCACATAATTCGCTAATCCATTTTTCCTATGTGAAGGAGAAGGGTGAGGAGAGAGATGAGATAGCTCTTCGTGATAATTAAGTAAATCTATTGTACGTCTTTCAAGGTGAACACTTACATCTTCTCCAAAGCATTCCTTTGATTTGAAGACCATATATCTGGATAATGTATAAAAGCTATATTAATGAAAAAATAACAATCTTCTTAATAAGCTAGCTCTTGTTAAATTGGACGTGACACTAGTAGATAGCTAGCCGTTGGAGGCGCGTAGTACTTACAAAGTGATCGAAGTTGGTAGTCAAGCCAGGATTGATGTGACTCGTCGTATTTATTCGTTCATTTGTTATGTAGGCTTAAAAATGCACATGTAAGGTCGCACGATGCACCGACGCGGCGCATCATCTAAATGGAGGAATGAGCGATGATGGGAAATTGGGAACGTGGTGGCATGCATACGATTCTACAGTGCGCGCGATGCACCATGTCCGGATGGTACGTATTATATTCCGCGGGCACCACAACACATTGGTGAAAGCTAGCACGATGGGCAGCTACAGTGTCTAGACTCGAGACTATAGTGCCTTGGATCACAACGTGCTCTACTGCTCTAACATCTTTGCGTGCATCTGCATGTATTGTGGTACGATCCAGACCAATCAGTTGTGGACAAAGAGATTGATCCCTCAGAAAAGATGAAGCCACTGCAATCTTGCAAAATCTTGCTTCATCTGGGTTTTCTAGCGAAAAACAGTGATAAAATCTAGA